GGACACCACTCAGACAGCCAGCAATTTAAGGAGAACATGCGGCTAAACATGTCACTCCTGGTCTGATTGGGGAGGGGACCAGAGAAAACTACAGAGTCCGACATTCTATTCAGATGTGCTTTTACTGCATCTGGAATGCCTTTGGAATCATTGTCATGGTCAGAAATGCCAATTAGAGACTTTTTAGATATTATTGTTTGGTGAATCAAAATTTTGCAGATATATTTTTGCAAAATTTGCAAAGAAATAATATTACCAAAAATCTCAAATTGCATTACTCCATAAGCCCTGTTGGCTCAGATTTTCAATCCATTTGTTTAATTTGGCATACATTGGCCTTTTCTTTTGTTTTCTCTTCATTAAGAATGACTTCTTTACAGATACTCATCCAGTTCTGTTCAGGCTTGGTGAAGAGTAAACAGATTAACTGAATGGCCAGATTCATCTCTCAGTCCTGCAAAAAGTCTTTGTTGGATTTCTTTAGAGCAAGACTTTCAGATATGATCACCAGCTGTAGATCTTTTTTTTAAGCCTGCCACCTATTCTTTTGTCTTTCACTTATCTTAACTTGGCTGAAGTATAAGCTGGACACAGTGGTGGGAAATAGCAAGTTTATGATTGGGAATAACTTAGTCAGGGCAAAAAATGTGACTATTTACTCTCTGTGTGATAACTGTTATTGTTGGGATGATTTGCAAATTCACCAGAAGAAACTGGAACAAATTACATATTTTTTTCCAACAGGCTGCTAGTAATAAAGTGTATAAAGATGCAATTTAAAACTGTTTCTATGCTAAGTTATCTATTATGTTTAGATGCAAAACTCATGCATCCCTTGAGTTAAGATTGAATCATTTATTAGTTAGTGATTTAATGGCTTAAAACAATTATTCTGAATATGGTCAAATACAAAGACTAGACCAATTTTTTTATTTTATTTTTTTAAAGCAGCTAATTTCAAGGCCACTTTAAAAATGACAAGAAAGTCTGCCTCCTTGGAAGCAAACTGTAATGAAGCCACTTCACTTAAAAAACAAACAAACAAACAATAAAACAGCAAAACTGCTGACATGCTTAATTATTTAGTAATTATATTGTTGCGGGTGAACCTGCCAATCAAATGGATCAGCTCTAGCCATGAGCAAAGAGCATTTCCACCATGGGTCTAAAAAAATATGAGGCATGGACTGGAATGCCCATTAAACAATATGGACAACTTGAACTGACTCGTGTTTCAGTAGGTCTGTTTCATGATTTAATGGGAACATAATGGTGATGGCTGCATACATACTCAGTTCCCCTTCAATGGTTAATCCATGTCATTAATGGTGTCTCAATTAAATAAAGGCGTTCTTTACGGAAGCAGCTGGAAAACCTCCCCCCCGGCAGCAAAACTAGTACGCATGCTTATTTTCGTCCAGATGCCATCACATCACAGGCGCTCGCGCTCTGTTGCTTGAAAGTCAATCTCCGTTAAACAAAGCGGCATCACCCCGCTCTCTCTCTGCCGGGGCAGATTGGCCGCCATCCCTCCTCATCAAGGCGGCCTCTGATTGGACAGTCTCCTCTTCTCCGCTGACAGCCCCCCGCCAACCCACCTCCATCTCCGTGAGCGCAGCGTGCAGCTCGAGACGCCGAGCAGAGGAGGTATCACCGCTGTGTGAAGCGGACGGATCTAAGATTCCTGGACAACTTGTAAGGACGGGACGCGGACGACAACACGGGTGGGTGTTTTCATTAAGGGTCGGAAATGTGTGTTTTTTTTTCCTTCGGTGTGTTATGTGTCGGGGAATTTTTCTTGCCACTAAAAATATTCGTTCGCTTCCAGCTCCCAGCTCCCAGGGATGCTGTGTTTGGAAGTGACATTGAGTTAAGGGCTTGCCAAGTCGATCACATGCAGTTTTGTTTATGACTACGCCGTTTGACCCTTGTTGTGGTTGTAAATGTTGTTTCCTACTGTGGCTTTTTCTTGTTTCTTTTCTTTCTTTTGTTCAGCAGGCATGCGCCGAAGGTAATACTGAGATTTAAAACTTGCTACTGAAGATGTAGTTTGATACATTTTCGTCTTTTGAAATGGCACGACTCGGTGCTCGGAGCTGCTTTATACTGTGTAGTTCGCAGGAATAACTGCGGTTTTAAGTGCGTGGCATCATTTCAGTAAGAAGCCGGTTCACAGGTGTCAGGTTTATTTGCGTTTATTAGAATCATAGAAAAAGGCGAGCAAGGGCAGAGGCAAAATAAATCCAGATAAGTAGATGAGAGCATTGTGCATTTCATAATGCTTTGTACTTCATAGCTTGATATCAGATATAACGGATTTATCTGGCCTCTAATCCATGTCAATTAACATGAACTCAGAAAAGCCGTCTGCTCTCTGTTGCACAGCATAAAGGAATGTGTGTCACCTTGCTGTCCTTTATCACCCTGTTAGATACTGCTACATTACACCAAGAAGTCAAAAACTGAAAGCGAGCCATATAACCCTCAGTGGCAAGCTGCTGAATAGGATTTTACCTTGTAATCTAAGGGTCATAACACAGTTCTTGGTCAGTGTCTATACTTGCTGTGAACAGTGTGCCTAAGCCTCCCAAAAATCCATTCCTATAGATTTAGTTTGACAGTTTCTTTGAAATATAAACACCGCACACGCACAAATGCATCTCCCTCCCACAGGACCGATCCTCTTTCTGGAATTGTACCATGCTCCTTGAAGTGCTTACATCAGTACTTCTTGACACTGTTTTTAAGCGGTGGAGTGTAACCATCTCTTTTGTGGGAGCACAACCTTTACATTGCCGCCTGGGTCGTTAATACGATCATCTCTGCCAGATTCTCTCATTTAAGCCTGTGTACTGGCATGCGACCAGACACTGGAATTGTGTGAATGACAGGAAAGTTCCATTTAATTTCAGAAATGTCCCGCGGTCCTCCATTTGTCTCCTGTGACACAAAATGCAGTGGTTTAATCTCAATTAGGAAATGACATCTGAAAATGGGAACCAGGACGTGGGTTTGGAGGTCTAGTTTGATGAAGTAAAGTATAGAAGAACTCATTTCCATTCTGCTGCTGTAATGCTGTTTAAATCCTCTGTTTGATTAAGCTCAAGCTTGATGGAAGCAATTTTTCTGTCACAAAAGCTCTGACAGATGTTGAGATTTAGAAACTGTTTCCACAATTGTAGGTGCTGCGATCACAGCTGCTAGTCCTTCTAAAAGTCATGATGACATTGATTGTGGATCAATAAATTACTGGTGCAGCGCTGGAAAGAGCCCCTCTGATTTTCCTCCTTTTACCTTCCCCCATGAAACTAATGAATTTGAGTCCTTTTTCAAAAGCTGTCTGTGCTAAATCATTATCAAACAGTCCTTCTTCAAAACTCAGTCGTTATATCTGCAAATAGGCTGTTGACATGTGCTGCGTTGTAAACTGCATCTTATTGGCATCCTGTGAGAGGAAGCAGGTCCCTGGGTGTGCATCTAATAGGCCTGTTTTAACTAATTTAACCCTCATGTGGGGGTTTTATGTGCAAAGGCATCCTGCCTGTTTGAGTTATTGGACGAATGCAATGCACAAAATCGATCTTTTGAAACCTTTGCTGTTTGCAATGCAGGAAAATGAAGACTGTTTTTTATGAATCTGCAGAAAAGCCCTCTTAATTACATCATATTTTAGTTCTGGATATTATTGGAGCTGAATTTATGGAACAGCATGGGCCCTCCTGGATGAGATAAACTGCGCGTGGCATTGATGAATAGCATTTGTATAGAGCACAACAGAAAAGTGTATTACAGAATGGGCTTATTAACTCGTTTACAGTTTCAATGCACTTATGCTTTCCTTGTCCACACGATTTAAGGGGAACTCTGTCAGCTTGTGGATTACTGTTTGTTACTGCACTCAGTGGCATTTTGGTGCCCTTGGGGAACATATTCCTTTAAAGTGTACAACGTGGTTTGTCAAATGTCAGTTGGATTTTCTTTTTCCTTTGGCAACTGCTACTTTACGAAGACCTTTACTTTGAAATGAGCCCATTTTAATGTCATCAGCTTCAATGTCTTATGATGTTTGGAAACACTTCATCATTGGGATTTAAGGTCAAGTCACCATCCGACCATCATGCAGGAAGGAATCCACACACCGATGGTTGAGGACGTTAAGGCTGCAATCATGGATACTTTGGCTACTTTTTGAGAAAGCTATGTTTGCCTGTGATCGACATCATCAGGTCCAGCCACATTTTCCAATTCCTGGAAAACAGATTTTACCGTAGCTAGGTGATACTCAAATATTCAAGGCTACCCCTTTTTTTACACTTGCACGTTAACCCTGCACATTGCTACATCCTTGCCTTCTTTTCTTGTGCAGTCAGGCAGCTGCTGTGCTTCTTAAGTGACAGTAACTGTGGCAAAATGCTAAATATACATAGTGGGTAGGGGTGCAACAATACACAAAATTCACGGTTCGGTTCGATACTTTGGTGTCACGGTTCGATATTTTTTCGATACAAAAAAATGTTCATGCCTTTTTAATTTGTCATTTATTAAAATTATAAATATATATTTTAACTCAAAAGTACAGTTTTTAAATTTAACCCTAACCCTTGTGCGTGTTTTTTATTTTGACAGCGAATGCGCACCTGCGGACCACTTATGTGCAGCCCTGGTTATTTAGCTCGTCATATTGCAGCCACAGAAATTCTTTTGTCCATGAAACCATAAAGCTGCACTTTCTTTTTGCCTTATAGTCTGATTTGTCATAACTTCTCCGTTTTGTGGTAAGCTTTTCTTTGGCTGTCACTTCTTCACCCTGACCTGTCTTATTTGGCTCAGCAGAACTAAAATATATATCCTGCTGCTTTTACACACGCACTCACATAACGCTCAGCGATTCTCTGCGCGATCAACCTCTCACATGTTTAAGCTTGCTGGGAGATTTCACTTGTCATGTTTGCATAGTAAGCTAACGATTGATAAGACGATGTCAGAGGAATTGGTGCGCAAATTATCATCACTCACCAATCAGTACTGTCGCTCTCTATACACAGTTCGCGCGATTGCAAAGTGAAAGCAAAAAACAAGCGCAAATTCAAACGCGATTTCAATATGTCACATATTGACAGTGGCTCACCGATGCCAATGACATAATTACCCAGCTACATTTCCGAAAGAATGCAAAAGCATTGACATATATTTTTCCTTCCTACAATAGCCCGACGGGCAGGGCAGAGATAGATTTTGGTAGCCCGACTGGAAAAATCGCTAGCCCCAGGACGTCGGGCTAGCGATTTGCGAGCCCTGTATCTGATTGAGGAATCACTCATCTTTGGAAAAGAGAGTTTATTACAGAGAAATGTCTCTTTCCAAAATAAAAGCTATACTATACGCTTCTTCTGGGCTATATTCTCAGCAGCATATTAAACATATCAGGTCCCCATAAGGAGAATCATGTGCTAACGGCTGTCTAAATGACTCGGGTAAAGTTTGTAGCATGCGTGCTTGTTGTTTTTGTCTGCTTCCACTTGTCTTTGCACTAGGATGATGTCGGCGTAAATGTGCAGTCATATTCATTGTGTTCCCACTAGTGCTTTCAGGTTAATCTCGTTGAAATGACCTTAACGCCACAACATGGCAAATCTCCGTTAACGAGCTACCCCTGATTGCCCCGTGCATGGGGCTAGACGGCCAACACGGTAACGAGCTAACTGCGCTAACAGACTAGTTCCCAGCTTAACTTAACTTCTGTCTTGCTAGCTTGCCCTGCACTTTTCCTTCTGACGATGCTGTCTGTGTTGAGCGCTCAGTGGATCTGCGCTCGACAGTGCAGCCTAGGCGGAGTAGTCGAACGCAGATTCACTGAGCGCTCAACACAGACAGCATCATCAGAAGGAAAGTTGATAAAATAAATTACAAATTTTGTATTGTTTGATACATATGCGTACCGAACTGAAAGCACTGTATCGAACGGTTCAATATCGATACGAATATCGTTGCACCCCTAATAGTGGGATATCTGTAATCTGCGGCGGGGTCCATGATGCGAAGCTGGCATACACATCATGTCATCCATACCAAATTCACATTGTCAGAATCTCAGTCTTGCACTTTTATTTACACTTTCAAGGTGCTCTCTCTACACTTTCACATAAGCAGCCTACTATGTGGGCGGTATAAACGGTATACGGTAGAAATGATATAAATTTGGCCAACGGTAGAGATTTTGATGCGCTATCGCTCTACCGCGATAGAGCATGTTGATGGTGTCATCAAGCTGCACCTGCTTTGGTCGAAAGCATTGCAGCGGCTAAAAACAACATCATCTGCAAATTATGCCGGGCAACAGTAATACCAAAGAGACGAAGCACTTTTGGAACATGGGGAAAGCCAAAAACTGTGCTTCCTCCACTTCCGTACCATTGATTCATTAATGCTGAATTTTCTTGCAGCTGCTCTATTCCCATGTTGTTGCAGTATGACTAACCTCGTATTGTGGATGAATTATCTCAGTTGTTTTCCTAAATGAAGTTTGGTCCGTTTACAAACGTCACTGCTGTTTATTTTTCTGTCTTCATTTATGTTGGAAGTGATAGCAAAGCTGTATGTTTAAATTTTTTCAGAAATCTCTCAGTCAGAACATGCTGTATCATGTTTAGGTGGAAGCTAGCGAGCTAACTTCCTGCTAACTTCTAACTCCCTTAAATTTAATAGATTCTGTTTTCATGGATGC